ATCCTTCTAACGCCACCAACAACAACCAAGAGCTCATCAAAAAATTAGCAACAATACTCAGAAGCAACAAGAATCCTTTTAATATCTCTAACAAGCCATATGGCCAAAACCTTAGCAACCAATAAACCATTGCTCTCAATCCACAAGCAACCAAAAATCCTTCAAACGTCACCACTAACTTAGATGGAAGCGTGGTAACTAAGAAACTATAAAAATTATAGCAACCTCCTAGACCTTACCGCCAATCCAGCATCAAACAGGAATCTATTTACGAATATATTAACGTCACCACCAAACCAGATGTAGCAACCAATAAGCTATTGCCCTCAGAACATAAGCAACCAAAAATCCTTCAAACTCTACCAACAACCAAGATGGAATTATAGTAACCAAGAAGCGCTATCAAAAATATAGCAATCACTAATTAATAGGCACTAAGAAACAGGTTAAAACCAATATGCTAGGACCGACAAGCAACAAAGAATTCCTCAAACGTCATCAACAACTAAGATGGCAGTGTAGTAACCAAGACGCGCCATCAAAATACACCAAACTCCAAGTTATATGCACTAAGAACGCCACCACCTAGATGTAGCAACCAAGAAGCCAGTACGACGTTCACCAATCCTGCAGCAGCAGAGTAAGAAGAAGAAGCAGCAGCCCTGGCAACAGTGTCTCCAGTAGTTAAGGAGGACCACCACAAATTAGTTCTAACCTGTGGATAATTAAACGGCGCGATAAAGGCGCAGGAAGGAAGCGACGGGGAAATTAGGCGCGGTTTATCGCGGGGCGTAATGAGGAGAGACCTTGTTTGTTGGTGGTGACCAGGATGATGATGGATAGTCACCGCTTTTTTACATCTTTACACATCAATCTCTGCCGATTCTCGCTCCTTTTTATCTTCCTAGGTACTGTGACTTGGTAATTCGACTACGGTACTAGTGTTTGTTTATTTATTTATTTGGGAGAATCTCTACTCTAGCCTATCCAATCATGTTCCTCCAAGATGATCGCTCCATAGTCTGGTGGTAAGACGTCTTGGTTTCAGTTGGTCCACAATTTATTAAGAGTGTCATCTTGATCCGGTGCCTTCCATCCTTTACAATCCTATATTTCACTTACTGCAATAGGATCACGGATTCTTGAGAGACAATTTTATGGAAGCTTGTGTTTTCGACCATTTCTTAAGGTATTCTTCAACCAAATTCTTTAAAAAATCCATGGAAGGTTTTGCCAGACATAATCTTTCATCTGTCTGCATGTACCATGCTTGCGAAATTTTTTAGTATTTTCCGATTTCTTTATAAAACACACCAAGGATTGTGTTGATCCTGAGGTCGGTAGCATCCTACAGAACACCATAAGAAAACGAAGAAGCGGCGGCTATCCAAATAGAGAACTTTGGCAGCAGAAACTGCCAAAGGTCGAGTAATCTCGCCCTACACCATAAATATCAGCAGCTCCGTAAAAAAAAAATAAACTGCAGCAGAAACCAAGCGGCCCTTTAGATGGAACAGACGTGATTGGGGGAAGTCCGAAGTTCAAACGATGGTATTTCCCTTCAGCCGATCAATCAACCTGTTGCACTTCTGGCCAACATCTGATCTTCTGCCATTTTTCTTTTTTCTTGACACTTTTATGTCTTTGGCTGCTATGTCTACCACTATTAAGAAATACTCCTCGAGCCCGTTGGCGCCTTCATGGTGTGCAAATATGGAGAAGAGAGAATGTTAGTCTCTAGTAAAATATATCAATAGATTTTTTAAAATAGTTCATAGCATTATCTCTAAGGCGCAACTCTCGTCTTCTGTCATTTAATTTCAACCAAAGGTCTATCCCACATCGAAGGAAGTCTAAAATAATGTGTATAGTAATCTTAACTAATATGCAAAATTGTTGGAGAAGTGTCATTTTTATTTTCTTGTCACCTTTGTATTTTGTTGCTGCTGTGTACCAGTTATAAAGAAGTACTCGCACGGCTGTTGACGCCGTGGTAGTGTGCAAATATGGAGATTGGGACTCGCTATAGTGTATCTTTGTCGATAGCCGCCTTTTTAAAAGGTAGTTTATAGATTTATAACAAAAGAGCGCAACTTCCTCCCTGTCAGTTAATTTCAACCAACAAATCATTCGTCGAATGAAGTATGTAAATAATTGGTATAAGAATATCAACTAATATGCAAAGTTTTACAGAAGTGCCATTTTTATCGAGTATGTAAGTACACAATCTTCAATAATTACATGCAGTGTCAAGGACACTCATCCCTTGATAAATATATCTAAAAGTTACCCGGCTTGGGACAATTCAATGCACAATACTGAATTCAACTTCAATTTAAAAATATCGTTGAAATGATTTTGGCGTATATATTGGAAATTTTGTAACTTTTTGGCGCAATTCAATGCACTTTCCCGAAATGGGAGTTAAGATTGAAGGAAAACTTAAATTTTGAAAGGTTGTCGAAAGACTTTGATACGTCATCCATAAGATGCCGAGACTTGATCCTAGGACGCACGTAGGTTATCTCGAAGCCTTTATCATACATTATATGGCGTACTCAATGTACGCAGTTCCATATTTAGAAGGTATGGTTACCTGAACACATTGGTAAGGTTGGACTGCTGTAAGAATCCCGTTAAAATGATCTTTGTAAATTGTGTTTCGATCCACAGGTTTGGCCCTCCAGATCCTGGAATGTTAGACCAGTACAGAATGTAAGAAGTTTTTACAAATTTGTATCCTTAGTATACACGCGGTAAATGCCATAATAATCATGGTGGGTAATTAGCGACTGTTTTTACTGCATCTGCACCACATGTAGAAAGCAGTTCGACTTTTAAACTTTAAAATATACCAGAACTCCGTTTGGTTGATTGCACTTATTGACGGGGTTGGACTTTTAAAATAATCGGAGCTATTAAAGCAATTTTTTTCTTCATAAAAAAAGTGTCTAATGCAGGATTCGAACCCGGGTCGTAGTTGTCGAAAATAGATGGTTTATACCACTGCTCCACCGAATGTAGCCACTCCGCCATCTGACTGCCGATGTTTACGTCCCCGTCTTGAGGGGGGAGTGAAGATGTCCGTTAGCCGCCGTACCCGGGGACCGACCGTTAGGCGTCCATTAGGGGAGCCAGCGGGTCGTGTCGGGCGCGCACACCTGGCACGCGCGCGTGTTTACGTCGGGGCGGTGTCTAATTGTGGGACGTCCCTCCTCCTTATCTGGTGGGGAGATAAGTCGTGGCCGTCCTACCTCTGATACCAGTCGTTCCTACCTGCTCGGTGTCTGAAGGTGGGCTAGCTATCAACTACATCATCTCTGTCTATGTATGTATCATCTACAGCCGTTCTCCCTGTGTTAATACTTGCTCTACCATTGTACTTCCCGGGTAGAATTGATATCTTAGTTTGATAGATCATTGGAGTAAGCTCAAGCTGTCTGAAGTTAGTGTTGCGATGTATTAGTCTAACAAAATGTTAAAAGGCAAGGCCGCAATTTTTTTAAAATTATTATTATAGAAGCTTTCGCGTAATCCCTTCTTCAGCTTGATAAATGGCTTCCTCGAAAGCTTTTCAAAAACTCCTTTCAATATATAAAAAAAATCTGCGCGGCTCTTTTACTCTTGATATAAAGCCATCTGTAGATATAATTTTCAATGTTTATTCTTTAAGAGAATTCCTTCGAGATCTCTCAATGTAATACATTCCAACTAAGTGGCATCTCCGCCATCTTAGCTATAAGACATTTGCGCGTCATCTGTATATAAGAATAAGAACTATTTAGCGCCATTTTTTATCTATTAAAACAACTTCCTACTGTCCTAACTGGAATGGGAAAATTTTATTAGGACCATAGGCTCATCAGGTGTTAACTCTCCCAGTTTAATAATCTGCAAAAATGATTGCTTTATTGACAAGATTTAAAAATGATCATTTATGCTGTAAATGAACATTAATTAATTAACTTTAAATAAAAAATCATAAAATTCACAAACTATGAATAAACTATTTACCTTTAGGATAACATTTTTTCCTGTTGAAACTTGTTTATCTTCCCAGTTAGATTGGTGTGATTATTTTGCCATTGTGTTTGTCATTCACACATTCTGTACTGGGTTGTTGTACTGCCTGAATATCTCTGTTTGCTATATGCAAACTGCGACATTTACATATGTTTGTTTTCTTCTATTACAGATTAAGTTACTTATAAATATAATTAATGGACAAAATGAGAGTAAAATGGGTTTAGGAACAGTTATTGATTTATGTCGACTTCTGCATTAATATTATCCTGAAGACAGAGGTTGTCTGGCCGGTATTCATATTTCTATGAAAATTAGACACTTGGGCCAATTAGAGTTTTTTATTTTTCTCAACGTTTCGACAAAAAATCTTTTGTCTTCGTCAGGAGAAGTAAATAAAAATAAAGCATTTGGCAAGACGTTAAAAACTAGCCGAAGTGTCTATTTTTCATAGAAAAATGAATTAATATTGTTTTGGGTGTAGGATTTCTGTATGCCTCTATTGATGCAGTATGGTATACTTGAAGATTTCATTGGGTCTATGGTTAGTTTCTTTCTTGAAACTGAGTGTTTGAGCTTATGTTAGTTATTGTAGTCGAGAGTTTTTATGGCGTCGAAAGTTTTTCCTCCAAGTTACAACCAAAGTAGGTTTCCTAATGTAAATGTTGCAATCATGGAGAAGAGGAAACGACTTTTGGCTGTGGTGTATTTGTGTTGCGTCATTCGATAGATTGGTTTCATCTCCGATTCTCTCTCCCTGCCAGATGATTCCTCTTTGGTATTCAGTGCTGAATGTGTGTTCTCAGTATAATTGGTTCCCATCATTTTCTCCTCTATGTCGTTAGCGGATTCAATGTTGTTCTATCTCTATGCTTCCTAGGGTTCTTCGATTCTTTGAACATATGCAAATATGCTCAATTTCCCCTCCGCGTGCTCCATTCGTCCTATGCGAACTCTATGTACACCAAAACAATAAAAACCAACAGCGCCCAGGAGGTCACCCTCCCAAGTACTGACCGGGCCCGACTTAACTTCAGTGATCGGGCGAGAACCAGAATATGCAAATATGATTTGAGAGTATATGTGATACACGCATTCTAAAAGTATATAGAGCGCTCAGATATCGTGATTATAGCATTTATTTTATATTAATCTCTCTTTCACGTACAGTAGAACTATCTCTCTGTAAAGGACAATACCTAATTGCAGAGCCAAAGTGCCTTTTAAGGAGAGGTGTCCTCTTACACGGAGAGTTGCTAAATAGTAAAAATGGTAATTTTGCAAATGAAAACTGTCCTTTGTAGAGAAGGGTCCTCTAGCACGAATGTCCTCTTATGGAGGCTCTACTGTATATGCGTTCTTTATTATTATTATTATTTATTTATTTATTTATTTAGGTTTGCTCATGGCTAGATACCGTTTCAATAGCTTATATTATGTATAGACTTTGTTTTAAATTATTTTATCAATAGATAGCAACCTCAATTACATCAACATAAATAACATTTTTTTGCATTTAGAGATTTTTCCGTTTTTAAGTAATCATAACCCTACGAACTCTCTTTTAAGCCGTTCTTTTATTATAAGTTGATGTGACTCTTGACTTTTCTAAATGCTGAAATAATCTTACAATTTATATATTTTTAGTCATTTTCACAGAAAGAAGCGTTCTGAAAAAAAGAAGAAACATTCAGAACCTCTCTTTCTAAAAATTTCTATTTAAAAAAAGCTATTTAAAATCAAGCGATTCCTTGACAGTGTTGTTTTTGGAGCAGTCTTAATAAAACAAAATGGCGCCGACTATTTTCAGCTTGGACGTCTGCCTGCACGATGCTAAAAATCTTCTGAGCAGATTTCTGTTTTGGTTTTCCTCTTAAATATGGAAATATTTCAAATTTTAAATGAATATATCAAAATTGTATTCATTAAAATATTAAAGAAAAGTTTTTTAATGACGTTTGATCTCCACAATAATATTTTTTTCTATTTAATATAGAAAATAATTAATTTACCCGTATTTTTGCAGAATTTAGTGTGAACTTATAAAAACAGTGCGAAAATAAAATAATTTTATTTATTTTTCAACCATTTTCCGACATTTTAGCAGTCTTTTTCTAACAATTTTTTTCCTTTTCGTTTTTACAAAGGCTGAAGAAATCACCCAATATAGGCCATGATGTGACATTTCTCCCAGCCAATCAGATTTTTATCTTCTGATAAGATTTTCTATCTCATCTTCTGCTAATTTATTAATCTCCTTTGTTCACGCCTGCGTTACCTAACTTATCATCCACACATTGTAAACTTCTCACTTATATATATTATACTTTAAAACAATGACAACAATAGAAAGCTTTTGCTATTGTTTTTATATTTGTTAGTTTTATACTTTCCCGCCAAAATATTTCCTACCAAACGAAAACAATTCATGGCTGCATTTATCCCTGTTATTTATACTCTGATAATTGATGCAGATATGTATTTTAATTAACTAATAACATAAAATAATTATAAGTTGGAATCAAATTTTCTTCTATATTCGCGCCAAGATATATAAATTTTGAAATATATTTTTTTAATAGAAATTAACTTTTTTTTTTTCCCGAGAACACATATTTATTTCGTTTTCAACTCAGGTTTTTTTTTTTTTTTATCTTCAGAATTATTTTAATATTACTATATTAGAGAGTATTTTTGAAATTAATAGTGTGTGTTTATATTTTATTTAAAATATTTTTAAACATTCACACATATTTTTTTTATAATTATCCGATAATTCATATATATACAATATAAATATTTTATTGTTTGTTTAACTTTTATTTCTTTTATTCTCCTTCAAAATTATGAATTATTGTTTAATAATTTTTAAGAAAAAATCCTTAAACTAAATAATAAATGGAATTTTTCTATCGTAAACTTAAAAAAACTAATTTAAAAAAAATAATTATAATAATTATTATTTTTATTTTTTTTTTTTTTTTTTAAGTTTACGATAGAAAAATCCCATTTATGGGATAATTATGGTTGAAAATAAAGCTTACTTAATAAAAAGTAACAAAAAAAAAACAATTTTCCCTATACCTTTTCAAATAGAAAAATCCGTTGTGTATATCTTGATTAATAAATTCGTAAGTTTTGGCGGAAAGGGCTAACACTAACCATGTTAGTAGCCACAGAGTAGCCCATCAGTGATCTGAATAAATAAATTTATTAAATATTTCATCAAGCAACACGCTGTAGGCCGGCCACCTGGGTATCATTAGAAATAATGTTTTAATGAAATATATAAAATTACTTCTCACCCCCTCGCAAGATGGCTGCTTTTTTTTCCTTTATTGGGATGCTAATATATATTTTAATGAGGATATTGAACAAACGTTCGGACTCCATTGTTTGTTTCTTTTAAGGATTCCTAGAGTAGAAAATATCATTATCAGAAAAGATTGTCCGTTTGGTGGAGAGAATATATTAAAAACACATTTTAAAAGTGTTTTTAAAAAAGTTAATTTAGTTTTTAACTTATAAGTAATCCTTCTTAAACGTATTTAAAAACGACATCGGGGAATATGGGTTTCAATTAAGAGCTAAAGAAAGAGCCAAGTGTGTGTATTATAAGAATTTTTTTCCTAAGGAAATTTAGTAGTTGTATTGAATTTTTTTTTTATTATTGTAAATGTTTGTAGTATGTTTTAAAATATTTTTCTCTCTCTGGGAAATATCTCTCCGAAGAAATTACTTATATACACATTGGTAAAGTAGATAAACACTTCTGTATTTTAAGACCGTTAATAATGAAACTAATAGTTGATCTGTTTTGTTTAAAGATAATATATCAGTGATATATTATTACTTTACTCTGTTTTGATTTGAAAAAATCGAACGTATATCATCATTAAAAGGCTTTGTTTATAATGTGCATGTGTGCAAGAATTGTGAAACAATAAAATAATTATAGTACCATAAAATTTCGTATCTTTTATTTTTCATTTAAAGATATCTAAATATATAAAGTGGGATTTCTTATAAAATAACTTTCACTATTAATCTTCACTCTATAATAGAAACTTATCAATAGTAAACTTTATTATTATGTATGAGTTTTATAGTAACGGTAGGGGTAATAAAAGGAAAGGCTATATACATTCTAAATACTGAAATTTCTATGAAATTCGAGATTAAGATAATTTTGACTAACCGTCTTTAAGGAGAATTCACTAAATAAGGAAACTCCTGGGTAAATATAGCATAGAAAAATTATGTTTATTATTTTCTAGAAATATTGGACTCAGGACTTTTAGGATATCTTAACATCAATAAAGAAGATATCAAAGTATTCCAAAACTGATCCATACCACTAAGGTATCTTTAAAATGTCTCTAAAACTACAACTAGTATACGGCCAGGGGATTCGTGCTTCCATTGAAGAGGTCAACAGTGGAAAAAAGAGGAAGAAACCGCAGAAGCTAAAATGGAGTTTCAAATCGAAAATACTGAAGGAAATAAGGATTATATTTCAGGTCCATGATCTCTCAAAGTCCAAGAAACACTTCCTTTTTGGCGCGCGGAATGCTAAATTAACATAACTGGTATAAACCTACAACTATGGAATTGTGAGAGGAGATTTTCTCTCAAGATTTGGTATGAAGGAACAAATGATGAGGTCCAAAAATGAAATATATAAGCCTCTATCCATCTTCTATGAATATTTTTTTAAACTCAGTATCATATGTATATTTGTTCAAACCCCAAAGCATTATGCCCCATCACAGAATAACAATAAAATATTCAAGAATAGTTAATTTATTTAGGTTTTTAAAGGAGGGTAAATTTTATCCACCGCGACCTTTCAAGGTATTGGAAGAAGGCGCGACCGCTGCAGGGTTAAATAAAGTATTTAAGAAAGACATAATAAAAGTAAATTTAGCTGAGAGTCATAAGAACTTTACTGTTGTGGAATGAACATTCGGCGAAAGAATGAGAGATAGATAAAAGGCGTGTATAGGTAGTGTAGAAGCCAAATTGCGCAAACGTGCGTTTCATACGAGCACAGCTCTGGACGGTAAGTTGATAGGGGTCAACACACCTGTTTGTCACCACAAGTAGGTTGGTATAAATGTCTGCAGCGACATTAGCGGCTAAACTGTCACCCTGCAGGTACGTTCTTAGACTTCTCTCTTCTTCCAAGATTTTTATATGATTTCTCTTTTATATAGAATTATATATTTCTTCTTGACCTACAAGTGATTAAATCTCTTTCTTTTTTCTTAAATTTGTGATGAAGATTCAATTGTATTGTCTTCATATGTCCAAGTTTATTTTAAATTACATTAGAAGAAAGATGTTGTTTAAACAGTCTTTTTTTTTTCTCAACTTTGATCTGAAATTTGTACATTCAAACTGTTTTTAAAGATATAATCAATTCCTCCAATGACCCACTGTTTTTATTATTATTTACAATTTCAAACCAATTAATGGATGCGTATACCATACGAAGGCTATTGAATCTTGTTAGGGGCAATTATCGAAGTCCTTCTACATGCGGAGTACTTTTACAGTATTAACAGATATAAATTCCTACCTATACCATGTTTATCATGATCTGTACTGTGTATATACCTGGGGGATATAATTCCAAATAAATTTCATTATAGAAAAAGAATCCCTGATGTATATTTGAAGCTATTACAGCTATTCAACTACGAATCACAGTCTCTAGATCCCTACACATAATAGATTCTAGCGAGAGACGGCTGTCAATCAATAAATACATTTCAATCAGGCAACATTCACTTGATGTTACAACATCAAATCGGCCGTGACCTTGATGCCATCCAAATAACACATTGAGATGCTCCACGTTGGGCGCCAGGAAATTGGGAGAGAGCACCTGGTAACTTCTACGTCATCTAAATACAATTTATTCAATTTACCTCTTCATTTTTACTTCCTCCTTTCTTCTATTCTTTATTAGCAACATCTTTCCTATATTAAAAAACCTATTCTAGTTTTTTTTTCCGTTTAACTCAATTCGTGGCTGTCCACTTTTGAGCTAAGGTCTCCTTGGAGTCCATTCTTC